TTGGGATGCAAGTGAGACGCTTCAGCCCAAAGGTGCTACAGGGTCGGCGGCTGATACACCATGTGCGCCCGTGTTGCTCTCTCCAAAGTTGCGATTCCCACCATCGTCTGTGCGACGATTGAGGAGTGGGCTAACGATTCGCAACCAAATACGTTTGCCATGTGAATGGGCAGTTTATTTAGACGCAATGGTGGTTAGAGTATCGTGTACGCGTCATTTGATATAGGTGAAAGCGTACGAGGTAGGAAATGATTGGAAACAGGTTGCTTGTACACTGAAAGTAAACGTGAAAAATGGCCACATCTGGTTACCGGTGTACGAATCAACGAGACCGATGGGGCAGCTCGGGGATTCCGTCGCAAAGCACTGGGTGAAAGTCACCTCTACTGTCTGATGGAGTGATTTTCTGCGGAGACTACGGTTACCCTTGGACTTCTTAGTTTGCGTTTGAAGGGTGAGTTCGAAATTGCGGTAAGCAACAGCACCGTCTGAAGATACTTGGATGGTAGGCTGATAACCACGAAGAAGCTGCACGCCATTCCAGAATCCATATCGCGCTGGAGAACAAAAATAGATGCAGGTCGTTCGTTTTGCAGCTCACGAATTACGAGGTGGATGGAAAGCAACCGGTGTAGATCGATGTGACTAATTTCAATCTGTTTTTGCGCTTACACTAGGGGCCGCTCACGACGTGGCAGTCGAGCGCATTGCGTGGTAGCGAACAGCCCGGAACCGAATGATCATCATGTCGGCGCCATGACAAACAGCTGCCTGATAGCATGATCGGTGTTGAGAGGAGGCTATAACAAGCAAAGGGACGCTCAGTGGTTGCGACAAGTGCTTGCAACTAACGGAGCAGCGTTTATGGAAAGTTGCCTTTTGGTTTGTGACAATACGCCCTTTCACACGCATTAGAGCACGTTTTCCTCAAGGAACCTAACCGTTCTGGGAAATTTAGAAGCCCTGTGCTGTGCTCTCCATCACTTGACGGTGTGGCGATGGAGTCCCCTCTAGGACCGCTCCTTGCTGACGTTTTCCTGGTGAAGCTTGAACGGGGACTTTTGCGACAGGTTATCTCAATGTTTGATTCGTATTTGCGATATGTGGATGACACTTCATTGTTTATGATTGAAACAGAGACGTTTCTCGTCTCTTAGCTTAACGCAACAGCGCACATCCGGTGTTACATTCCATCAGTGAAATGGAAAGCGATGGAAGACTGACCTTTTTGAACATGTTGCTGTGGCGACGGAACGACGGCTCTCCGGAGGGAACCGTTTTCCGGAAGCCGACATGCACGGGCCAATACACACACACACTTCTTAAGGTTTGTGCCTTTGCAACACAAGCAGAACTTAATGCGTTGCTTACATTACCGTGCCGCCAGAATTTGCATCCCAGAGACGCTTACGAAGGGAAACATCGTATCTTCAACATATTTCTAGAGAACGGATATCCCGTTCAGTATATCAGAAAGCATGTCACGATTCGTCTGCGCTCCGAAATCACCTGGACTGTACCAAAAATGGATGCGTTTCTATCTGTGCCATTCAAAGGAGATGTTGCCTTTAACTCTCAGCTGCAGTGTGCAAAGCCTACCCAGCCGCCTATCTACATGTACTTACTCAGACCGCTCCCTTTGTTACCCGGCGTCTCAAAGGCAGACTCCCGGTCTTGTCCCAATCATACGTCTTGTATCAATTTACTTACACCTGTGGTTTAAGATACCTCGGGCATACAACCAGGCGTCTGTCAAAACGGGTAGCAGAGCACTACCCAGGCTCGTTAAGAAGAGATATGGGCAGAAACATAAACAGTGCTATCATGGTACATCTGATCCTAAGCGGACACGAAGTTCAAACATCGAATGTCTTTAAGATCTTCTACTATGTCTCACCACGCCATTCAAAAACTCTCAAAAGGCGTCCCTTGCAGATAGCTGAAGCAGTTTCCATCAGACTGACCCAACCCGAGCATTGCAAGCAACGAGCCTTTGTGCAAGTGCTTCTCCTACCATGGCCACGCGGCAGTTACTCGGGAGCCTACGCAAGGATCGCGACACATGGTGGTCTAAGCGTGCTTTAGAGTTGGAGACCGATGTCCTCTCTGGCAACACTCGCAGGCTTTTCCAACTCATTTGGTTCAATGCCATCAGGAAGCCTGGTGTCAGTGACGTCATTTGTGAGATGGATGACTCTCCGATTACCAACCAACAAAGGCGTGTAGACGGCTGGGCCGAGCACTTTCACTTGCAATTCAACTGGCCTCCACCATCCATCAGTACATGCAGTACACCTTGTTGTCCACCCTGGCTCGTCCCACTGAATTCACCCAGCGAAGCGGAAGTCTGCCTCAAGATTCAACGCTTGAAGTGGTTCAAGGCTTTCACCTCAGACGGTCTTCTTCCGGAGCTGTTCAAGTACGGCGGTGTGGCGATCAGTAACCAGCTGACCGCGCTGTTCGCAAAAATCTGGCATGAAGAGAAAGTACCTTCCTTTTGGGGCGAATCAGTTATTGTCCCGATTTTCAAGAAAGGCGCTCGCACTTCATGTGCGAATCATCGCGGGATTAGTCTTATTTCCGTTGCTTCCAAGCTATTGGCATCCATACTGCTTCGCAGACTATCCTCAGTACGTGAATCATGCTACCATGAAGAACAAGCTGGTTTCCGTCCCGGCCGCGGATGCGTGGATCGAATCTTCACGCTCCGCCAGCTCCTCTAACATGGCCACATTTATCACAGGCCCACTATCGTTGCATTCCTAGACATACGTGACGCTTTTGACTCCGTTGATCGACCTGCTTTATGGCGTTGCTTGCTAAAGAACGGGGTGCCAGAGAAGTATACCGCCATCTTACGAGCACTTTACCTTCATACGTCCGGCAGAGTGAGGGTCTATGGCAAGCTTTCCTCGCCATTCACTGTCAATAGCGGTGTGCGACAGGGCTGCCCTATGTCCCCATTGCTCTTCAACTTCGCAATCGAAGACGTTCTGTCGAATGCTCTTGAAGGTTTCCAACATTCTGGCTTAAAGCTTCTACCGGTTGAGCGCGCGATCGACTTAGATTATGCTGATGATATCGCCTTACTTGGTTTGCGATGCTCAGGGTATGCAAATCATTCTAGATCGTTTGGCGGTTGAAGCATCTAAGTATGGCATGAGCTTCTCCCCATCGAAATGCAGTGCTGCTCAAGGATTAGCTTTCACCTGCTCCCGTGCTCACTCTCGAAGGTGCGCAACTTGAACAGGTAGATAATTCCGTCTACTTTTGAAGCTGTGTTTCTGCTGACGACACTATCAACAAAGAAGTTTCTCTTCATGTCGCTAAAGCTCGATCAGCATTTGTCAATCTGAGGCACTTGTGGCGTCGTCGCGGCGTCTCATTCTCACTAAAGGGCCGCGTTTACAGCGCATCAGTTTACTCAGTATTGCTGTATGGGTTCGAGTTGAAGACATGCGTAGTCTTTCTGCCTTCGATAACGGTTGCTTAAGGAGGATTGCTCGTGTTTGGTGGCAACATAGAGTTAATAGTAATGACGTTCGACGTCGCATCTTGGCTAATGCGAGTATTCCCTTCAACAAACTGGTTTTGTTGCGCCAGTTGGGATGGCTCGGTCACGTCCTACGCATGGTAAGTGAGCGTCTACCGCGTCGCGCTCTATTCGCTCGTCAAGGACCTGGCTGGAGGCGACCGCGTGGTGGTCAGCCTTCCACTTGGCGGCAGCACATGAAATCGCTGACGCCGTGTCTAGCCGCTGTTGGATCCGTACGTATTCCAGGATGGGGACCTAATGATGAGGAGCGCCAATGGATTAGCACTGTTGAAGACATGGTCCGCAATGAGTGGAAGAATTATGTGCAGTATTGCATTGATTCACATGTTTAATACTTCGAACATTGAAAATGACAAAAATGGGGAATATCGGCCTGTGAAAAACAAATTAATAATGTTCCTTTCTTGCAGATTTTGAGCGGTTCTCCGAGCTGAGTGATTATTATGCAGACCTTCCATTGCCTGACTAGGCAACATTATCAGTGCGGTTTCGAGGGCCTGGTTCGCAGTGCCACCTAAGCGACTTTAATGTCCTGCGGCATATTAGCTGAAGTGTGTTGCTCACCTTCAACTACTATGCCACGATGATTATGACGCGATGACTCTGCCTTATTCGCTGATCTCCGTGGTTTTCTGTTGGCTCTGTCTAGTTGTTGGACTACTGAGATAGCTCGCTCAGTTACTCGGGATCCGACACCAACTGTTGCGAGGCCTAACCTAATTGAATTGACCTAGGCATCGATATGACCTCCTGACCGTTCAAACTCTTGGATTAGCTGTCCTCAGCGTAGCTGACAGCAGCTTACCACGTCGTATGTTTTTATTATTACTGAAATGACCTGATGAGAATAATCGGAAGGATAAATCTTCGATATTTAGACTTCTTATCTTTAAATGGACAGTATTCAGGAATCACTGATTTTCATGATACCACTAGCGATTTCAACGACAGCGTTGTATACCTTTTGTCATATTTTCGTTTAATTTATCTTTGTCATGTTTGGACCAATGTGTATGGCTGAGTTTTGCTGGCTGCATCATATCCCCCAAACCGCGCGCTCTTTTTTTAATCCTTTTCTGCCATCTCAGTAACTTTACGCGCGCATTTCTGTGTCGACTGGGGCCGCACTTTTTTGAAGACGCTTTGTGTCCGTTATCCCAATACCGGCCTGTGTGACGTCATTCTCTATTTTTCTCTTGCTTTTAATTTCCATTCCTTCTAACAAACCGAACTTATTCTCGGGCCCCCGATATGTTTTCTCAATTTTTCGTCATGTAAACAAGGTCAGTTGAATTTTCTGTTTACTGAACCTCATTGTTTAGCGAAACGGTTCCCGTTCGACGGAAATCTATATCTTTCTTGGGTGCTACTTCATATATAATGCACCCGTTTGTCTCATTTTCGGCTGCTATTCTCATATGATATTCATCTACTTTCGCTGTAGATGACGACACGGTATCGTTCGTCTCGTGTCAAAGCGCTTTGAGCGTACGGTCCCGCCACCTGTCAACAACAAATGCTAGCACTGTTGGACCAAAGGCAGTAGGTGAGCCAATTCTCCCGCACCGAAGTTTCTCTGCTGATCACATCTTGCTTTCTGGCAACCGTACCAGCGTCTTTTGTTCGTTGCCTGAACTCAGCATCTCCTTCTTAACTGTTCACTCCTTGACCATGGGATCCGCAAATGTCGAGCTTTTGCATTCGCTTATTACATATTCACAATACAATTTTCACATTTATGTTACACAGCGTAAAGTGTTTGGTTTGGTCACCAAGGGGTATTTCAAAGTATGCTTTATAGACACGTTTCACTAACAAAATGATATCCATTCCTTGGTGTAGTAGTGTATAACAGCCGCATACACAGCAATATGCATCACGCTCGCCTGCACTGCTATGTCTGCTTGAGTGATCCAGGATCATCATATCTAGAATAAAGGTGGATTGTTAAATAAGTGGCTATTTATTCAACATATCAGTATGCATGAAAACTGGCGCATTCCGACGAAACGGATTTCAGATTTGAAAGAAACATTATCTGTTCCCTTAGAATCAGTTTAAAATCCTCTTCTACCAGATTGACAAATAACTTTAATGCCCATTGTAAACAGAGAACAACGCTCTGGCAGTGTTCTACTTATCCCTTGCTGGTATTCTTTACGCGCTATCATTTAACTGACAACCAAGAGGTTGTAGAATCGCTTTTATTTTCTTGCACTATCTGAAAGTAACCCCAGCCCAGCATTTGCTCCATTAATTCTACTAGGATGTCTCGTAGTATATTGTGAAGTTGCAACACAATAATACCATTTTTGGACTTTGCGCTTATCTGTCGTCAAAAGTGAGCATGCAACACTGGGTTACCGTCGCGTCGTTCTCTGATGTTGATATATTTAAGAAAACATAGATATTGCCTCGCTGTATATGGCGTCATGATCTCCATACTTGCCTGAGCCTTGTAGCCACATAGGGAACACGGTGATGTGATTGTTTCCTAAATTTCCACCAACCTTGCTCCAGAAGCTCCATCCAACACCTAAGTCAATTTGCGACAAGTGGCATTTTCTCTTCAGCCGTTCACTAGGAAGCCCTTGGATTTGTTATTACGCTTCTGACACTGGTGCACACGGCGCATTCACGTCTCGTCCTGGTGATACTTTTCTGCCGACTTTCGTCTTATCAGATTCGTATATGTTTTGGATCCATCAACACTCCTATATCCTACTCCATGCCGTTTAAAGACAATTCACTTCCGCCTCCTGTTGTTTCAGCGTGATCGAGTCAGTACTCGCCTTAGCAGCTCATATTCCACCTCGATCGTTGGCGGCTTGTAATGGGTCGTTGCTCTTGGGACCAGCCCTATCCTCTGCACCTTCATACCATGCATGACAGTGGAGAATGAACCGCGCTATATCACGGCGGTCCGCTGTCATCACCCATGGCTCAGTGACATATGTCACTGGCTGGTAAGAGTGGGTTCGAATCCGGCAGGATTCAGCGGGTGCGCACTACCGACGAGTCCCAGTGGTGCGAAACGGCCGCCTAACGCTTTCCTTGATTTGTTGTGGCTGCCTGAGCCTGGCTGCGACGAATCTTCACCAAAACCTAATAAATCCCTTTACTACTCACTAAATATCGTCTTAGATTTTTTATTATGCTATCGTTCTGCCATTACTTTTTGTCTTACAGACTTGGACAGTACCCTGGATTCTCAAACTACTTCACATAACGTTCACCCGATCATTGTGGACAAACTGGTTCTCATTTTGGTCGTTCATGGTGGTTAGTCGCACACTTTTTTACACCTTTCAGTCGTTGGCTATGCATCAACGTTGAATCTGCGTTATTGCCCGCAAGCGCTGTCTTTGTCCGCAGTCGACCTGACGCAAGTTTATGCCCACTTCTCTTTGGATTGTTGTACAATTTGACATCCACTGCGAATCTGTGTGCCTTGGCCACATACAACCGTACAATTCATTCCTAATCCACTGTGTTAACTACTCCGTTCGCTTCATGTATCCGACCTATTTTTGTATCACTGTGCAGACTGGTATGTGCTTAGCAGGCTTACATTAGCTATACGTCTCCTCGTTAGATCATCGACCCTTGTTTGTCGCTTTGAATAAACTCATGGCCTTTATGCCCTTGTTCCTAACGATCCATCCCCATTTCCGACCTCGATATCTCCACCCGTTTACTCTGAATCCTAACATTGTTACACTGAATCTAGCATCATACTGTCTCACCTTACCTAATACCTCTCGTAATAAAACAGACACATTAACTTTGGATTTGGATTTTATGTTTCTACTGACGATACGGGTAACATGTTGCAGATCCGGACCCAGCCAAGCCCACATCTAAAATACGAAGATCTTACCAACAATCTTTAGTACAACCCAACGAAGATGCGACGTGGTTGTTCTGATTACACTGCTGAGCAATGCGATCTTCCTACCTGTTTCCTTGATACTATAAATCACTTGATTTTATTACTCTCTCATTGCTTGGCTCTGCAGATCATATACTCCTATTAATTAATTTCCACCCCGTGCTATCTTTCATTGGCTAACTGCTGGCTAGCTACCGTCGAGCCCATTGTTCCAGTGTTGTAGTGCTAGTACAGCCATAAACCGACACCTATTACGGAAGTGTGCTTCACCGCAAATGTAATATGTTCCTGTAGCGGTCGTTCGCATACGTCGAGGTTGTTTACGATGGGTCTTCTAGCCCATCTACTTGACATTTATTTCAGTCAGGTTGCTCGGTCATTGCGACAACATCCTCGTGCTGCTCGCATATTTTTGAGCTGTGCGGTAAGACAGATAAGATCTCGATAGAAACTTTTGCAGTTCACGGTCATTGATGCCTGCGGTTAATCGATCTCTAAATTTCTTATGGAGCTGAGTACCGTAATTGCTTTATGTAGTCTGATTATGTACTTGTAATTTGAATTCTCTGGTTTTCATGTTCTCGGTACGAACCAGTGAGTGGAAGTGAGTGCCTTCGTTTGCCTTGTGATTTCTCGTTGTCAGATGGTTCAGAAGTATGTCATTTAAGTCTGCAAAAGCAAGCTTTCTGGTGAATCCGAGTAAACCGAGTTCTTCAACAGGGAGCACACTTCTTGTCCTCCAGCGGTTATATGCGGACGGATTCCGCTATCTGATGTCTTTCTGTATGCTGCACGATAATTCGAACCTTCTACTCATTCCTGGATTGTACTAACACTGACATGCATGTTGAGTTGCTCGACGCCGAATTATGATGTGGCTAGACTGTGAACTAATTCATTACAAGTAAAAGTTACTTACGAATGGAAGAACTCGGTGAAATGTAGGCGGTATCATTTATTGAGATATTCGGGAACAACGTATTTACAGCACGCTAGAAGCATCCAAGCACGGAACGCACAATGGTAAAGTGGTAGGTCACGGATTAAGGATGCAGGCTTACACGTGCCTAGTTTGGTAACTTGGCCGTCAGATTTGTCCCATGTGACAGAACGGTTAAATGAACTATTTTCATGAAAAATCTCCCTAAACATCACCGGCGAAAATTTAGGTATAGCTTCTTTAGTAGATCCGGCACCAGTCTAATCACGGATCTCTCTACCTGACCGTTCATTGTTATTCATATGTCTGCAGCTCATTTCCCTATCCGATTCAATCCAAAGTACCTATTTTTAAAGGATACATCATTCATCAAATTTTATCCATCGCCTACTATGGTCTGCTTGCGCGGCAGTCTGTGGTTAAAGCATTTTGTCCCTGTTAATACCGACGTATATGCATTCCATGTCGTTGATTGCAGTAGTTTTCCACTCTCGGTTTCCTCTTTGGAGGAATATGCTTTAAAAACTGTAATGAATTCGGCGTACTAAATTATGAGCCCTTTAGCGCTTCTGCCCGTGACAACTGACTTGGTTCCTTGGAGGCTTGGGACTGGTCTGTACAGTAGTAGTTAAACATCCAGTACTTTTTGTGTGGTTATCCGCCCTCACGTGTCCATTAGTGCGAGAGTGGCACGTAAGCTAGTTTAAATGGGCAGTACCGTTCTACGCACAGTACTCGGGAAGCTGCAACGTAATAACTTGGAAACCACTGCCATGGATTAAGGTCTCTAATATCGCATGCTGACTTTCTCATTACGTTGACTATTCAGAATATCCCATCCCACTAATTGAAGGAACTGGCAACGAAAATATAATGTTATCCTTTCACTTGACCAAGGAAATCCGCTCGTACATCTCTCTTCGTTTCTTACGATTAGAAACTAGGCCTACTTTTCTGTGTGCCCTACTGATAAGTATACACTTCAGGCATGAATTTACCAGATGTTCAAGCTCCGAGTCAATATTTGACTAGCAAACATGGATTCGCGCCGTTTAATTTATTCTGTTTCATCACTAATTCATAACAAAACCATGGCGCCGTCTAACATTGCAGCTCGATTGCTGTATAGACAGAATATTAGACTTTAATTCGCATATTGCCAACAGTGTCTGATGATCCGTAAGTAGGGTAAACTTGTGAAAAATTTTCAATGCGAGCACTATCACAACAGTCAGATTGCATATTCGGTTAACGTTTTGAATCATGGTTAACACAACTTCCACTGTGTGGTCGTAAAGGATCGACAATAGTTCAGCTCACGGTAGCCTCTTCACCTCAGTAGACTTTTGATATTTTCCTGTTCATCGCAAGCGTTTATAATTAATAGTTAGTATATTCTCAACTAAGTGATGCACGGCTCAGCTAAGCTGGTTCGATCATAAAGTACAAAGGAAATGCAGAATGGTTTTACAAACTTGCTGTACAAAACACTTGTGGTTACAATTCCATTGATTCTTGTGCCATTGATTTCGTTTCTAAATTCGTCGCAATCCACGACAATTGCAAAACGTTCACATACATTTAGGCGGATGGTTAGGAAAAGAGCGCGAAATAACAACCTTTTAGGCGGTTAGTGATAATATGTACATGGAAAATATAATTTGAAAATTCATAACATTGGTGTATCACTATAAATAGTGAATGTATGTGAGCAGATATGATAACATGACAGGCGGTTAAACTGAGAACTGCCCCTATCATGGAACATGGATCTATCAGGATTACTGACGTTCCTCACATAAAAGGTAAGATGTGATAACACAGGGAAAGTGGAGTTGAGTACATACATTTGGTGGGTTAGTTGCGGCCATCAGCAATTCACCCTTTCAGTGGGTCCATGTCTTGCAGGCACTCATGACCTTCACCTAGCTGTGTACTAGAAAGGAAGCACTATATATAGACTAAGTAAAAAACCTGCTTATTCAACCCACCAATGTGCACATGTGTTTCGAATGCCTTCAGGGTGTCTTCAAGTTAAGTAAGGGCACAGCAAGAAGCAGTGTAGATGAAGAAAAATCCTATCTATCCAACTCATCGATGTGTCTATAGTTTCATAGGTCACCAACATGCCATCAATCTGAGCAACACGAAGTATATGGCAGTAAAGACCAAGAGAAAATCAGAGATAGATCTCACTTATCCAACTTAGCAATGCACTAATATTTTCATAGGCCACCGGTGGGTTATCAATATAATACCGAAGGATATGACAGAGTATAAGTTTATTCAGCAGTCCGCGCATTCGGTGCATGTGTTATAGGGTTCACTAATAATTATCGAGCCCTAAAAATACCTGAGCATTTGCTGATCTTTTAAATGGGACATTTTCTCGATAGACTCAGTGTCCGCTGGATTTGGATATCTTCCGTCTTTGTCACTTGTGAAGCCAAGGAAAATACTCTAATTTGTGAGCAACATACGCTTTTTGGGCGGGGCCTGAATCCATGCTTATTTTGGACAGGTCATCTGCACTTATTTCGATGACAAAAATATCATCCAAGTTTTATAGAACCCCATCAACTATGTAATCATCATACCATATGTTGTATACTTCCCCGTCAGAACGGACGGACTCCTTCACTCGTTGGTTTCCACGCTCAGTGTAGCTTAGACGATTCGAATTAGAACTGCTAGGGGACTTAGCCGGCAGATCTGAACTCGTAACTGAGAAGGCAAACGTAACGCGTAAATTCGCACAACTGTATCGAGCCCCGCAAAAAAAACCCCAAGAGTGCGTTTACTGACTCAGCCGAGGCAACCATGCTTTCTGCACCTTCATATTTATGACTCACTAAAACAGTATTAATTGTAGAAACTGTTTTGGAAGGAGAGTATGTTTGTTGAGACATGAGTTGCCACGCAGTGGTCCTCTCTCCGGGCCGAGATGGAGTGGGTTCGATGCTGTTGATACGTTGGGCATCTCACAGTTGCTGAGTGTGCTCGGTGGCTAAGACATTGGCCTGAACACAGCTCAAGAGGCGGACTGTTGATTCCAGGAGAGTCCGGGAGATAAGATAGCGAAACTGGCGCGAGTTCATTGGAAATTGTACGGGATAGTTTGACCGTGTTCTCACTGAGGACAACTCCGTTATGATCAGGGTAGATAAGTGGACATTTTACGGCAGTTTCCGTAGGGAGAGCTCCACTCTGAACTGAGTAGTTTGTCTTTGTTGGCGTTTTATAGTGCACTGTCGCCGGTGTACTTCGGTTGAGCTTGGCATGGGTGTACCAGCCCTGTAGCATCATGATTTGCTGAAATATCACCCGTGCGGACGTGACCCTGAATGGGACTCGATATTTCTCATATAAACCCTCTTGTGTGTTTATTATGAGTAGTTCTCTCGAGTATCCATTAATATTGACTTGCGCGTACGCGTCCAACAGGTCCGATTTTTATACACTCGCACCTATCCAGTTTTTCAAACAAGTCATCCAGAATCGGTATCGGATACTGCTGGCCTATCACCACTTCATTGCCACACCCCCTTTGATTTCTCCATTTTACACACCTCGCAGGACATCATACCGAATCGTCTTTTTGTCTAGATATATATTTCCATGGTGTCATTAATTTCAGCTTTACACTGGCATCTGTTTGCACTTTACAGGTTGTCTTCTAGATGCTGGTGATGATTTGATAATGAAGCGTTCGGATATCGACACATTACGGAAGACTATGGATGAAGTAATCGCCAACCATTATCCCATTCTTCGCGACAGGATTGCCATCGAATTGGTTGCTTGTATGTCAGAGCTAGCGGACATTTTTCAGTCGTTGGCAAGGCAAGCGATCTATTTGGATGTTGTATTACCTTTCTGGATGTTAAATCGAAGTTACATTTCTTAATAACTCTTATTCAGAATTTTTCGTTTTGGTACGTCTGCAGTTATTAACTTCCGCTCTCGATGATACTGCATTGCACATTTTAGTCTAAACTTTTAATCCGAATGGGGTTGACTGATCCTCCTATTCACACTTACCATGGACCCCTTCGATGATGGAAGCAGACATTTTACCAGCCAACAGTTCTTAGTTACTTCACGCTGGTCATTTTTAACGGCGCGATGAACATTACTGCTGTGTCACCGTTACTTTGCACATACCTTCAGTCCTCACTCTGGTTTACTCAAGCATCCAGACTATCTAGTCCACTTTTTTCATAATCTGCCACTGCTCCATCGCTCACTAATGTAGCGCACGGACGAAGTATGTAGCCACACAGCTTCCAAAAGCCGTACCCACCCAACCAGCGCTTTCCTGCAACGGCGCTCAGCCTGTTCGAGAGTCGTCAAACAAACCATTTTATCACTGTGGTGAAAGTTGGTATAAGCAGCCAGGATATGTAGACGCCTAAGAATACCGACAACCTATATTGCCTCCTGTATTCAGGTTAGCAAGCTTTCAGATTAGTCCCGATCGCTCATCAGATTTACTACGAACTGGCTATAAAGCACTGTTTTTCGTTTCAAGCAGCTGGTGATTCTTCTCTACGTGTCACGGACCTCTCTGGTAGCAACAATATATTCGAGTTTGACTCTAAGAACACGTAAATAGTTACTTATCGATCAACTAACAAGTGGAGTAAAGAAACCTTTTCTGTTGTGATACAGCAGCCACGTGCTGCAATGTCACTTGGGTATTCTGTCTTCAGTATCTTTGTCCTGTTGTCAGTGTCTGGCTTCTTTTAAAGCGTAGACAAAGATTAGATACTTGTACTAGCCACTTGTCATCTTATGAATGTTTGAACGTTCACGTTCGCACCCCGCACGACTCGAATAATTTACCCAGTATTCCAGTGGCGGAGCAACTAGTTTTTCTGCTCTGGGCGCTGGCAGAATTTTCGCCCTGATTGAAGGCAGGAAAGGCATGTGAAGGCCACGCAATCGGCTCAAGGTAACGTTTACATTAGTTTTCAATGAAATGGATGATGGTTTGGGACATTGTTGTAACTGGTGAATGTGGCTACAACGGGACAAATAAGGGGATCGCTGGGAAGAACATTCGCACAGGTATGACACAACTCAAAAGTCTTATTGTTCATACAAAGTAACATATAAATATTCAACCCTCGGCTTATCCGGATATTTCGCCCCGTATATTTGGTATCGGAAAATCGACGGTACTAAAAATGCCGCCTCATATCACATGCTGCCCGTGACGGACTGCCCCCGCCCCTCCTATGCTACGTCACTGCAGTCTTCTCTCTCTTTATTGACAAATAGAAAGCACTTATAGCATGTGTCCATTTAAGATGTCTGTTCTACAAGTCTTTGTCGTATGCCTGTAGTCGTCTTCTTGGGATGAAATGTGTGAACTTATAGTGCGCCGTATTGCCTGATTCCCGAACATTAGGCGAATTTTTTTTCTTTTATGGAATTTTCAACACGACGCAAGAGAAGTGCTAAGAGACCCGTGAATTGTTATACCCGAGTCAGCATCACCGGGTAGCTCACTGGTTTATGGACATTCTACTCTACCGGGGGTACTGATTGGCTGCGTTCACAGTTTTTGTCAGTGTCTCGATCAATTTTACCTGGAAATTTTCGAAGAACGCCTACTGCTACTGCAATGGTGCGTACATTTGCTTGACACTGATTGTAATTTTTAAGTTCGTTTAATAAGAACCCTTGCGCCACTGCCGTGCCGCTGGCTCTCTGCTCACTGTTTTGAACATCAACCCCACAGTAGGCCAAAAACTAGAACAGATTACCAATAGCTTTTTCTGTTGAAACGTAGATGTAATGTGTGCCAAACGTTGTCTTCCAGTCATCTCTTGCTTGGCTTTCACGTCCGATTCTCTTTCCTACCGGCTGGCCACCACAGTGCACTATGTCTATTTATCCGCTCGCGTGATCAATCATAGCCTGCTCGCCTTTCCGATGCACTAGCGCACTGTAAGGCTGCTCATATGCGTTCTTTCGGCTCGACTCCCGAACACTTTCGAAGGCTTTAATTTCCATATCTGAGGGGCGCTTAACATGTATTCGTGGATCTCTTTGCCCGCCGATCTTGAACTGTCCCACCCTTCTTCCTTGTGACAGCATCATCATTATACACGTTAGCTGCAGGTGGAAAACAACTCAGCTATTGTGCCGCAATGCAAAAGACAAGAAAAGGAACACAAACGGTGGCACGCCCGCTGAGTTCCCAGTAACGGATGGACATCGTTCCGGAGAGCTAACAGCTGGCTGCTGTAAAAGAGAGTCATATTATGCCTAACAAGTGTGATCGTGATTGGAGGGGGATGCTAAGCAGGAGGGGGATGGACAAAGGAACTCACAACACAAACGCCATTGGGGCCGGCTCCAAGCCATATCAGCGATTGTGTCCAACCAAACGTGTTCACCATCCTTAGGACCCCAGCCAGGCAGTCGGGATGCACCAACCGATGCCAACTTCGAAGTGAGAGTTTTCATCTCTCTCGACCAAGTCATCGCTTGGCGTTCCCTCCTCCTCTTCCAACCGCACCCACAACGCGCAAACATTGCACGTCGCGGAAGTCGGTGTGCTGGCATGCGCAACACGTGGCCCAGCCATCGGAGTCTGGTGCGTGATATAATTGTGCTGAGCGGTTCACTCGCTCTTCCTGCACCAAATACGCGACGTCGAACACGCTCATTGCTTACGCGGTGCTCACACCAGACATGAGCAAAGCTGCGAAGGCAGCGATGCTCGAATATGACGAGCCTCTTCATGTCTGTCGACCTGATGGGCTAGGTTTCACAACCATATAGGAGAGTTGAACGGACGGTTGCGTTGTAAACTCTGCCCTTGAGGACGAGAGTAATGTCGCGTCTGCGCAACAGGTGGCGGAGATTGACAAAAGCACCTCGAGCTTTTGCTATACGGTTCGTAACCTCATCTTCACTCCCACGGCTGTTAATGTAGCTGCCCAGGTACTTGAATTCCTGAACGACTTCTAGCAGATCCCCACCAAGCGTTAGCGCAGGGTTGGGTCCCTGCCAATCTTGGAGAAGTACTTTGCATTTCGATGGAGCAAAGCATAGCCCAAAACGATTGACAGCCAGTGCTAATCGGTCCAGTGCAGTCTGGCACCTTTGGGCGCTGTCACAGATTAGGGCAATATCGTCCGCATACTCTAAGTCAAGAAGTCGCTCACCAGGAAGTAGCTCCACACCTTCTAGGTCGTGTCCAGCGAACGCTGTTTCCATAACTTCATCAATAGCGAAGTTAAAGAGAAAACGTGACAGCGGGCAGCCTTGTCTCACATCGCTGGTGATACTGAAGGGTTGCGACAGTTTGCCCTAAACCCTCACTTTGCCCGAACTATGCGCGTACAGCGCTCTGATAATGTTTACATATTTATCAGGCACACCTTACCTCAGCAGACAGTCCCAAAGGGCACGTCGATCGACTGAGTCGAAGGCACCTTTTATATCAAGAAACATGACAACGGTGGGTCGCCAATAAACATGGCGGTGTTCCAACAATTGACGCAAGGTGAAGATGTGGTCCTTGCAGCGCTGATTTCGATGAAATCCGGCTTGCTCTTCACGAATCTGGCTTTCACGAGTGCCAGTCCGTCTGTGGAGAATGACAGAGGCAAGCATCCTCAGCATCCTCTCAATGATTATTCCTTCTGCTAAAAATGACAGAGTAGTTTCTACGCTTTTAGTGATTCGGTGGGACGGGTGCTCACGAGAACGGTTCACAACTGAGGTTGCTCTGACGATGCAGATGCCACTGGTTAGATACCGAACTAACTGCATTGCCTTTGTCACTCAGCCGATCGAGCTAATGTGGATTTTATTAGTAGACTCGGTGACCCGTCCATGACCTTTATGTGGACTTGAATGCTGAGAATTCTGGGAAATAGATCTGGCTTTCTTATTTATGATTGCCGCCATTAGGGTGGCATTTTGCAGCCTAATTTTTGACCAGCTACTGCGTGTGTTTTGTTGAGAACCATTTTTTCGGAAACTACTCGTGTGCTGTGACTTCTTGTATTCATGTACTTGACGCTATTGTAAACTGCTAAATTTCTGTCTAGTGCTTTGTATGAAACTCATTTTCTATCAGTCGTTTGTGTCCCAATAGTTTTCCATCTTTGTGTCAATCACAGACGATGACCGGACGGACGTTCCGTTACAGAACACCTGTAATTTGTCCGGCCGTTCATATTACCTGTTTCTTTGTTATCTGCTGGCCTAAACACTTGTGTCTCACTTCCTTATATCCCCTCGTCCACTTCGGGATTCTCCAAAATAGCATCCTCGAGAAGCTGGTCGCTCATTTCGCCACTTGTTTGATGGACGTGTCGCCAGAACACTGATTATTGCGCATTTCGCCTTCGATCATGTTGAAGTCGTTTTATATCTAACTCCTAAGGCTCATACAGACGGGGACTACCTGTGGCCCTTTTAGTTTAGTATAGTTTTCTGGCATCTCAGGTAGCAGGATTTTCGTCGCAGGCAACCTTAACCTTGAGTCGCGTGAAACGGAGTCTTGACACTGATTGAATCCCTGTGGACGCACTATTGTGATAGCTTGTGATCTTTCCACCTTCACCACAGTAGATTCGAGAGTAAGTGTCCGAAACCGCCATTGGCATTATCTGCTTGAATAAAGCATTTCTTCTTTTTACTTCTCGATTAGCAGTGTCGCCAAGTTCATTTGCTCATCTGTCTCGTCTATTTTTCCAGACGGGTCCACGAACAGTTTGAACTTGTGAATGTGCATTATACTAATATCTCTCGCGGATGTTACTCATTCGGAGTGTGTGCCTATTTTCAACCACCTGTTTTTCGACCGAGACATAGTGACTCTGCCTCATCTCATCAGGATTAATTTTGGAGATGCATCACAACTGCCATCTGTTCGCTTTTTAACAATGTATTTGGTTCAGTGATGCTGTGCCATGACACTTTTGGCATAGTTGTCTGATTTGTAATTGTTTTGTGGATTTACGTTTGAAGTGTTCTCAACTCTCTCCGGCTTGTCACTCGTGACTTGGCCGCCAAAGTGAAACTGGTCGCTTATATGCTGACGAACGTAAATGTGGCAAATCAAGGCAGAGTCGTGAATAAAGCTGAAAAATCAACCTTTCGAACTAAGTTACGCCACTTCAAGTCCCCCATCTCAAATGGACATCTGATCGCTAGTGTGACCCGTCACCTTGCTTCCACTCTTGTTAGGTACCAGAGTTACTGGTTATTTGCTCGATATTTGTTTACCAGCTTATAATTTGATCAACTTTGTACTTCACATGACCTACGGCGGGTTCCATAGATAGCATTTGTCGAAACAACCTATCAGCTGGCATGCAAAAGACGGGATCAAACTGGCATTAGCAGTTCACATATGTCAAGCGGTCCACTGTAGTTCCCAAAACTGTCATAAATCTTAACTTTTTGAATGCATACTCTGACAGCTCTTTCTAGACATCGAAAATCAGACACAACCGCTTATTATCTTAACTCATGTGACGCGCGCTTCTATTTTTAATAATAGTTCCAATTACTCCCTCCGCATTGATTCAAGCGTTAAGCGGTTTCGTGTTCTCTTCCTCATCTTACCGCATTGTTACCCACTCTTCGCCTACCCTCGATCAGATTGAAGACTACTCCGATTGATCCGAAATTGCCGATTGAAGTTCAGCTTGCCCGTGACCTGATGCCTCTTGGATGTATTCCATTGTTCCTAACTACTTCGGCCACTTACCCACAGGTCAGTCTGCACTACCTACACCATCAACTCTGCCCTTCATTTGTTCCTACATGCACTACGCGACTGCACCTATCTTGTCATTCGCATTTTTTCTTCTTCGAGAATTGCAATGGGGACTCATTGAAAACAACCTATGCATGAAACGTATCGAAATATTTTACCCAGATTTCAGCTAAAAATTTGAAAACACTGATAGGGATGTCACATTTGGCTCACTATTGTTCACATAGTACTGTTTTTTTGTACGACTCTTTCCACTGAGTTGATATGGGGGCTTTGATTCCGCAATTTTCCACTGGTTGTTACATTTCTGTTCGAACCTCGAGCCACTTTATATACGAACTCGGTTATGCTCTCTGTTCGCGAAACCGGTTACCTCACCTTACTTTCTCAGATTCAATTTCCTCATCCTACTAAAAAATGTTTTTTAGTTTACTTGCTGACTTCCAGGAATGTTACAATACGTCTAACTTCTCTCATTCTGTGGTCTCTTATTTCACCGAATTATTACTCACAGATGGAAACTTAATCTGTGCTGTTTCCAATCGAATGAAGTGGAGATGTTAGAGAAGCTGTCAATTGTTTCCCTGCGTGGATGCGCCCGTTAGGATCCAGTCGGATTCGGGTTAAGGGACGCCTAATTTCGCTCTCTCAAGAGATGCGGATCTGATCGGTAGCTGGCACGTTATCTATTGCACCATGTTCTTTCTGAAGGGACTTTAAACAGACAATGCAGCGGCCCATATAACATCCGGTGTTTGCGTTATTTAAAATCGGAGTTTTACTTTGGTAGTATCTGCGCTGCTTCGCCTATGAGACTGCGACCGTCCGTCTGCTGAACCACATGCCCAAACAACCGAAAAAAACCAAAAGCCCAAGGCCCAGTAGACAGGGTATATTCTACGGAATAGGTCGTTTCTATTTTTTGTTCTGAACCATACGTACTAATTTTGGGAAGCATGGTCACCCTGTCTTCGGCGTCTGGCCCTCAGCCAACCCAGGGCGAACCGACTTCTGGTTGGTTCGGCGTAGCTGTACGCCACCGGGCGCATCCCCAGGTTGCGGATCCAGGAGTGTCCTCAGCCAATGTGAGCGAGTTCAGTTCCACTGGTTTGCCATACTTGGCAGAATCGTTCGCCTCCGCTGAAACTCTTGGTGCCAGCTTGAATTCGCTGGCCAATCAATTCTCGCCTGGTTACCACATGTGTCGGAATAGGTGCACTCGATTATTCGCCCTGGCGTATTGCCTTCACACGCAGCCGACTGATCACATGCTTCCCGGCAAGCTGCCGCGCACTGTTGCCGCTACGTGGGGTTGCCGCCTTTTGCGGGGACATTGACTACGCTTGGGCCACTATTACCTCCGCCTTTGATTTGGTTTCCTTTACCTATTCTCCGCTCTTGCCTCTAGGCGTAGTTTTTTTATACCCCGAGGTCTACTTGCAGCCATGGCGGTTGCCTCTTTCTTCGGGTTGGCCTGCATGATGAATCGTATAGGGCCCTCGGCACCGGTTGGGTTCCTCTTTGGCGATCGGTTCCGTTTTCCAACCCAGATGTATTTAGCAACATATCCCACCCCAGCGTTGTCGGTTCTTGAGTTTTCTGAGTGTTTCCACGACGCGGTCTCAAATGATTAGCGTGCTTGATCCACTTTTCATTTCCGACCATTGTCTCGTAGATGATAACCTTACCTCTCTCACCAATAACCATTCCGCTCGACCATCTTCCCGTGGTTTGAAAGTTTCTTGCGTAAGCCAAATCACCAATCTCAAAGGTATGAAAACCTGATTGCCTGCTCTTTTCCTCGTTTGTCCGTTGTGTTGTTCCTCATTCCTTGGGCGAAGGCTATCAACGGTAAGTTTCTTGGCTTGCAATTGCTGGCATATGCTGTTGACTGACTGATCGAGCATGTTTAACTTGTTCATCCAATCGAGCCCCAGCAAATTTCGTCCTGGCTGATCTGTCACAAGACAGTTTGTATAAATGTGTTGATTCCGGAAACTGACCTGACAGCGCAACTCTCCAAGCAATTTTCGTACACCCCCGGATGCGTTCCGTACTGTGTGGCTGGAATGGACCAGCGGCGGTCGTCCCAGCATGCACCGTGTGTCTCGACAGATCAACGTGATGTCTGATGTAGTATCCAGCTGCAGCTAATTTCTTTATCATTGATATTTACTATGGTATACTTACGTCTGCTGATACCATGAACTTTGAAATTTGCCTTCACAGTTTTGGTAAAGTCGTAACATCGGAACCTCACCCAATTTCGACGTTATTTTCTTCTTGTGGTAGGTCGCTTGGCGGGACGACACGACTCTGTTTCCTCGTTTATCACAACCATTGCAAGTGTGGTTTCTGAACGGATAGTTTCTGGCAAAGTGCCATTTCCTGAAAAAGCAACTAGTGGAAGGAGGTTTAGAAAGCGTTGAACTCACGTAAATCGTTTTTATCCTAAGCACTCTGGTTGACGGTACAGATAAGATCTGGATTATTATGCCTGGATGCCTGTTGAATCATTGCAGCATCATGTTACAGGTTCATCATTACCTGGAATTCATCGGTCGCTTCTTGCAGCGTTATCTCAGGGATTGCCCGATTCTGCTCAAAATCCTTGTTCTGACATCGGCATCTATGGTCCCTTGCGGACCACAAACATAGTTGAGAAACTTATACTGATCGTCTGACATCTTGTGGAATTTGGAACGTTCATATTCACGATTTATACGACTCAAGTAGCTAACCCGGTCTTCGTCGTCTCTCTTGGTCATGGTAAGACATCTGTAACGAATACAGAAAAACGACGTCTGTTCCCCAAATATCGGGGACCAAATCGCTACCACGTCATTGAACGGCAACTCAGCCCTCTTCTTCGGTAAGCTTAAGTTTGTCAACTTTTCATACTCGGCCGCACCCAGTTTCCGTAGCATGAGGCGAACTCTGTTGTCCTCCGAGACGTTGGTCAAATCAACACGAACATGCCTTCCTATTTTCGGAACCACCAATCAAAAGTAATATCAGCATCGGCATCGTAACGTAACTCACAGATTTGCTGCATCAATGTTTCTGGTGAAGGGGCACTTCCACTTGCCTCTTCTGCTGAGCCTGCTTGTACTAACCATTTCTTGGTCAGCGTTTCAATCAATGTGGCTTGTACTTTCTCGAACTGCGCTTGCCTTTACTGTAACAGTGCCTGCAGTTGTTCAATAATGACTGACATTTGGATTCTTCTGATTTCCCCGTCGCCACTATCGAACTGCTGCGCTGCTTCGCCTATGAGACTGCGACCGTCTGTCTACTCAACCACGTGCCCAAACTACCGAAGGAAACCAAAAACCCAAGGCCCTATAGACAGGGTATATTCTACGGAATAGGTCGTTTCTATTTTTTGTTCTGAACCATACGTACTAATTTTGGGAAGCATGGTCACCCTGTCTTCGGCGTCTGGCCCTCAGCCAACCCAGGGCGAACCGACTTCTGGTTGGTTCGGCGTAGCTGTACGCCACCGGGCGCATCCCCAGGTTGCGGATCCAGGAGTGTCCTCAGCCAATGTGAGCGAGTTCAGTTCCACTGGTTTGCCATACTTGGCAGAATCGTTCGCCTCCGCTGAAACTCTTGGTGCCAGCTTGAATTCGCTGGCCAATCAATTCTCGCCTGGTTACCACATGTGTCGGAATAGGTGCACTCGATTATTCGCCCTGGCGTATTGCCTTCACACGCAGCCGACTGATCACATGCTTCCCGGCAAGCTGCCGCGCACTGTTGCCGCTACGTGGGGTTGCCGCCTTTTGCGGGGACATTGACTACGCTTGGGCCACTATTACCTCCGCCTTTGATTTGGTTTCCTTTACCTATTCTCCGCTCTTGCCTCTAGGCGTAGTTTTTTTATACCCCGAGGTCTACTTGCAGCCATGGCGGTTGCCTCTTTCTTCGGGTTGGCCTGCATGATGAATCGTATAGGGCCCTCGGCACCGGTTGGGTTCCTCTTTGGCGATCGGTTCCGTTTTCCAACCCAGATGTATTTAGCAACATATCCCACCCCAGCGTTGTCGGTTCTTGAGTTTTCTGAGTGTTTCCACGACGCGGTCTCAAATGATTAGCGTGCTTGATCCACTTTTCATTTCCGACCATTGTCTCGTAGATGATAACCTTACCTCTCTCACCAATAACCATTCCGCTCGACCATCTTCCCGTGGTTTGAAAGTTTCTTGCGTAAGCCAAATCACCAATCTCAAAGGTATGAAAACCTGATTGCCTGCTCTTTCCTCGTTTGTCCGTTGTGTTGTTCCTCATTCCTTGGGCGAAGGCTATCAACGGTAAGTTTCTTGGCTTGCAATTGCTGGCATATGCTGTTGACTGACTGATCGAGCATGTTTAACTTGTTCATCCAATCGAGCCCCAGCAAATTTCGTCCTGGCTGATCTGTCACAAGACAGTTTGTATAAATGTGTTGATTCCGGAAACTGACCTGACAGCGCAACTCTCCAAGCAATTTTCGTACACCCCCGGATGCGTTCCGTACTGTGTGGCTGGAAAGGACCAGCGGCGGTCGTCCCAGCATGCACCGTGTGTCTCGACAGATCAACGTGATGTCTGATGTAGTATCCAGCTGCAGCTAATTTCTTTATCATTGATATTTACTATGGTATACTTACGTCTGCTGATACCATGAACTTTGAAATTTGCCTTCACAGTTTTGGTAAAGTCGTAACATCGGAACCTCACCCAATTTCGACGTTATTTTCTTCTTGTGGTAGGTCGCTTGGCGGGACGACACGACTCTGTTTCCTCGTTTATCACAACCATTGCAAGTGTGGTTTCTGAACGGATAGTTTCTGGCAAAGTGCCATTTCCTGAAAAAGCAACTAGTGGAAGGAGGTTTAGAAAGCGTTGAACTCACGTAAATCGTTTTTATCCTAAGCACTCTGGTTGACGGTACAGATAAGATCTGGATTATTATACCTGGATGCCTGTTGAATCATTGCAGCATCATGTTACAGGTTCATCATTACCTGGAATTCATCGGTCGCTTCTTGCAGCGTTATCTCAGGGATTGCTCGATTCTGCTCAAAATCCTTGTTCTGACATCGGCATCTATGGTCCCTTGCGGACCACAAACATAGTTGAGAAACTTATACTGA